ATTTGGATACATGTATGAATTACTTCATTTCTTAAATTTTAGACATGGTTTCATGGTGCATATAAATGCATATTTTGCTTGTTTTATGAATAAGCAAAATACTTTCGAAGATCTCGATTTATGCTGCATATTTTCTTTGTAAAATATTTTTCATTATATATATATATATTCTAATTTTATGTTAAAAATTTCAATCATCTTCGCGTGTATACAGTTTTTCTGTTCCCTGTTAGGGTATGCTGCATATCTGACTCAAACATTTCGTCATACAAACAGCAAGTTGAGTCCCGGTTCATGCTTCTGATGCAGTACCTAGGAAGGGACTTCCCCGATCTGTCTACCCAAAAATCAGTTTTGATATTTGGTATGAACTTTTTATATTCATGTTTTGCATGCATATTATGGAATTTTTTATGCATAAATGCATACGTATTTAAGGGATTGTTAGAGCATAAAAATCCATTCCCTACAGATAACATAACGAACCAACTGTCACTAACTCTTCGGGCCTCCACTACATGTTAACAGGGATAGCTTTAACTTTTACCTACGCTGGGAACAAAATACCGCACCAAAAATCTTGCTGAAACACAGGACGTTTCTTTCCGTAACGTTGCCTATCAAGATATGACGTACCCTCAGATATGTTAGACAGATAATAGTGGCATTTGATAAGCTGTAGTCTGTAGGTTGCATAGCTATTCAGTTCTTTCACATGACACAACTGATATATCTGAATTCGTGACCAGTATTTTGTGTCGTTTATTTAATAGATTAATATCGTTTTCTCAGCCTTGTGAGCAATATCCGTGACTGTTTTGATGTACTTATTTCAGTCAGACACATCTAGTTAATACGAATAACGAATATGTGCCAAGTCGCCAAATAAATCTGTCTTAATCGAATACAAAGTTCAGTGATATTGGTACAACTGAAATGGTGCCTATAACGTTTTGATTTTTATAGGGCAGTGTGAAAACTTATAAATTTACAATTCTCTGAGACTGTCTTGCCTAGGGATTACCTCTGTGGCAGCATTGGATTAGTAATTCGGACTGTTCGAAGAACTCGGCCTTTCGAATTTTCACAGATATTGGAAAATAATTTTCAAAATTTTCACATATCAGGCCTTTCCGTTTTCCACCGTCTTAGGACGTCGTCGTAGTCGTCGTCGTCATCATCATCATCATCATCATCATCGCTACCATAATTTTAATTAACTAACTACATCCGTGGATTTGAATCATTTTGAAGCTGGTGGTCGCTCAGCTAATCAAGAAATTCATGACATTGTATGGAACCGGGAGGGTCTTAATGTCTTTAAATGCGCGCCACATTATTTTTAATACCATTACCATTCTCGAACTCAGGACAAGACACGAAAGCATTCATTGTCACCTCTACTCATGTTCGCCCATCTCTGCTGTTGTGCACAAGCTGATCGTGGTAACTATAGCGGAGCCGCGATTTAATAGCCCCCTAGCATCGCCCGTGTGTGACATGGCAACGTCCAACTCAGGCGGAAGAATGTAGCACTGTCGTCAGATTTTTGTTTCAGTTCCAAACACCGCAGGATACAATTGAAGCTTATAGCGTTCAGAGTACATACCCGTGTCTATTTGAACCGTGCTTGCAAATAAAATATATGTACAACTGACAACGCCCTTGACCAACGCATGGCTGTTGATTAATGCGGTTTTTGCTGATTGCTGACACGGTGGATCATTAGATCGTGGCCGAACGGTATACAGTATTTCACATTGCCAATTATAATTGCTATTAATAATTTTATAGATGAATGGTTGGTATTAGGAGTATTTTCATAATTTTTTGGTCTAAGGAAGACATTTGAATCATATACAGCGTTTCTTCTTCAGGACTCCCACTTCTCAACACATACGTGCGTCCTCTGATTTCGGATGGAGACAGTATGGAGGGTAGCTGCGAAATGTACTGAAGATGTGACGGACCGCTGACAAAGGGTGGTCCCTATACTTTGGGGTTTGAGGGTGGGTTGATAACTCGCCGCAAAACCATTGTCTTTCTCCCCCCCCCGGCACTACAGCCCCAGTGGGCCTAGGCCTACCTCCATGAACTTTTCCGTTCACTTCGGTTTTCCTAGATCTTACACATTCGGTAGGACTCCTTGGGCGGGTGATCAGCTCGTCGCAAGGCCTGTACTTGTACACAAACACAGAAAAACACACACACAAACTAAACATCCATGCCCTGAGTGGGATTCGAACCCACGATCCCGGTTTCCATACGAGCGAAGACAGTACCGCTCGGCTACCGTGACCGGCAAACCGTGGTCCTACAAAATGTTGTATTCGGCCTCGAACTTAACTAGAGTTATTAAATGAAGAGGATAATATGGGCGGGGTGTGTAGCATGCGTAGAGAAATGAGCAGTGCGTTTAAAATTGTGGTTGAAGAACGATATGAAGAGGCTGTTATAAAGAGAGTAGGTGGGAGGGCAATATCAAAATGAATCTTGAAGAACGGAGACTGGATTTCTCCGATTTATACAACAGACAGCAGTGGCGGGCTCTTGGCGATCACAGTAATGAACGTTCCAATTCCATTAAATAAATGCTGTGAATTAACTGACTAGCGAGGTGTTAGTAGCCCCTGAAGAAGTAACCAACCTGCCCTAAATGCAAGAACAATAGCTGACAAAGCAACTCCAAGGACGCGTTCGAAATTGTAAAGAACGTTTTCCGGACACTATTGACCCATGAGATCGTGACGAAACACGAGAAATTTTATTTTTCTTGTAGGTCTGTCACGAGGACAGACAGAAAATATACTGTACGATGTATGACCTTTCATGAGCTCCCTCTCCCCTAGATAAAATCTAGGAATGCTTAGATCATAGGGACAACGAAAGTAATAGAAATATATTGACCAAGGCTTTGTGGTGGCAAAACGAAAGACTTAGCAATATTTTGGTTTCTTTTAGGAATAACTACACAACACACTCGATATGTTCAAACGTATGTTTGCTTGCAGCCATGTGTTATCAGTATAAAAGTGTTAATAACTGAAACAAACAGAGGCAGAAGTTAATTCAGGAACCTATTATAAGTAGAATCGAAAGAATTATGATCAATATTGTAGTGTTTTGTTGGTGTCGACAGATGAAGGTAGATAATTACGCCGCGAAATTATTTACGAATGTAACAAAAAATCTGTACAAACCCCACTTCACATATTTCCTCATATACGATACATCTTCACAACGTTACCTTGAAAACGAAGTGAATTGTTGCTCATTGGACTATTGTTGGTTGCTGACTACCGAACGACAATGGAATCCGATATACCGTCGGTAAAGCCAGTTCCGATAAAATCGACATCATTTTGCGTTTGGGTCCGTAGTGGGCGTACTGTTGTCTTCCTGTGGATGCATTTTTATTTACCCGGATGTCCCTCATAACTTACTGAAATATAATCACAGTAGTTACAGGCGTCTTCGAGACAGTTGCAATTTTGTATTTGAGCTATAATGTTCAGATTCGCTTGTTACTGACCTAGGAAGGATGAACTTGAACTGTGATTAGAATCCATAAAATATTTCAGGCATTAGTGAGGCGCGCGCCCATCCATACATATATACAGACAGATGGCAGGGCAAAAACTTTTTTTTTGTAGTGTTGTGAAAAAAAAAGGGGGGGGGGAGCTTAAAATCGCAAATCCTTCAAAATCTCGAGATCGGTGCCTATACGATAGCATTTTCTGTTTCGCGTTACATATGTGAGAGAAAGTGAAATTAAGGACAAATTTGTTACAAGTTTCAACAAATTAGCCACACAGTCGTTACGCGTATTTTAGTAATCACCGTGCTTTTCATTGCGTTTGGTCCAGTGATTCACAGTCTTCCCCATTCCCATCAGTAGAAAATGTTTTCGATGGGGGCTTAAATCATTCCAGCACGGTTTCATTCTATCACAGACACACTTCAGATCCAGTTTCGTCAATACGGATTCTTCATTTGTCCCGGATACGCTGATGGATCTGCTTCTTAACCACAACACATGTTACATATAGTCCGTGGTCTCCCAGAATGCGTATCATCAACATTATGGCCCACCTCCTTTAAACCTGCCCAACCATCCGTAAGCTTTCCTTTAGCGCAGTTGTAGCCCTCCTGAATGGTCATTCTTCCGTAAATTTTAACTGGTCTTCACACCGTTTGATTACAAAAAACGGATCACAGACCGTTTGTTCTTCTTTGCATTGTATCAGTGGGGCAGCCATGTTAAATGTGTCACAGTCTTATCACTGCTAAAAAAACGAAAACAAACCTAGTTTTAAATGAGGAAAAGATCTTATTGTTTATAGCGACTTCCTTTTCAGTGACGTCATTACTTTCGAGGCCCACCAATCTGACTTCACTTTTTCTGTCTTCCTCGTAAATTTGTTATATTTGGGACCGCCTTTGTGTTCTAGTGGTCAGAGTTCCTGGCTACAGATCCAGAGATCCGGGGTTCTATTCCCGGCGCTACCACATTTTCTGAGAAGTAGTGGGTTTTGAACGGGGTCCACTCAGCCTAGTGAGAATAATTGAGGAGCTATTTCAAGGAAATGGCGGCTCCGGCATAGAAAACCGAAATTAACGGCCGTGGGGATACGTCGCACTGACCACGCGACACACTCTATCCGCTGAAGTTGTCACTAACTTCGCCGACAAGCGGTGGTCGCTCGCTCGGTCGGTATAGTTCGCTTGCGGACTAAAGCCACGGCGTTTGTTTTGTTTGTGATTATATTTTAGTCACTGGCCCTTTCCATGTGAATATATTTTAGTCACCTTTCCACGCAACAGTCATCACCGAACCCGAGAACGGAGACAAGAGTTTAGACCCCGAAACGTTGTTTGTAAAAATAAATAAAAAACCCAGGACGATGGATAATGTCAAATAAGTCGGCCCTCATTTGCATGTTTGAGTATAGCTTAGTAATACCGTTGAGTGAACATGTGGATGTTGATTTATGTTTCAGGGATCCAAGAGGATGGGCACGTGATATGATCTCCACACTGGAAGTCATATTGTAGCAGATACAGTTTAACTATAAGTCATAAAACAATATGCCGGGGAGCATGCGTCGGTTTTCGGGGACAATGGAAAACCCGCCACTGCGCCGGGACGCCACTGACAGACGGCACAGCAACGCGTCCGACACTTCCCTACCAGACACGAGCCACATCCGTCAGGCAAGTTCACTTCTCTGTGACTGGATCAGATACAGCAAATTGGAAGTTAGCTTGTCTTGTATTTCGTTAAGTACTTGTACTCATCACACCTGAAAAGGTTTGGAAGAAATTGTAGATATTGAGGCGTATAGACAGGTTGCTAAGCGGTGACTTGTAAACAGCGGCCGTTGCTAGGTAACTCCCGAAACAGTAGAACAACGGTGTTACGCAACCCGTATCTATCTGTATATCTATTTGTCTATTTATTCATTAAACCCTTTTGCTCCAAATTGGAGTGTAGGGCACCGTGAATCGCATCGTTTCGCTTCAGTTTCTTGATCTTAGACAATCGATAGGACTCCTTGGAAGGGGGATCAGCTGACGAAAGTCTGCTACCTACACAGGGAAACACGGAGTAAACGCAGACAAACAACCATGCCTCGAATGGGATTCGAACCCACGATCCCAACGTTCGAGCGGGCAGAGATATTCAACGTGTTTCTCCCAAACAGTGCATCATAGAAAAAAATATGGTTAATGTAAGACACGCTTCCCCGGTTGAGCAACGTTTGAAGACAAAGCTGGCTTTTCTGTTTCAAAAATGAGGCACAGGGAGCCCAGAAGACTAGCACTACACACGTTTTCTAATGTTTCTCACGTTATGAATAATTTTACGTATGTTCTATCCCTAAAACTTACATTATATGAACATGGAGTTCTGGGAATACGTGCAAATTTTTAAGAAGTTTGTGTGTAAAGAAGCTGTTGGGGCCGGATGGGGGGTGGGAGATGATATTTATTATGGCGTGATGCAATTTCAGTTTGATTTATCTTAAGGTATCTTATTTGTGTGCTTTCGAATAGTTGTAAATAGTGTTACAGATTTACGCGTCTGTATGTGAAATTCCAGACAGTAAAATCGTTTTAGTGTGGGAATACTGTTTTCCTTCATACTTTCTGCCCCACAAGAGCTGTGTTTTGAAGGCCACAAAAATTGGGCCACGTTAGTCGAGTCCAAAACTCGTTGACTTTACATGTAAGCAAAACAAAAAACAAAAACAAAAAACAGTGGCTTTAATCCACAAGCGAACTATGCCGACTTGTCGACGAAATTAACGCTAACATTAGCGGATAGAGGGTGTCGCGTGGTCAGCGCAACGAATCCCCACTGCCGTTGATTTCAGTTTTCTAGACCGGAGCCGCTATTTTTACATTCATGTGGCTCCTCAGTTATCCTCATAAGGCTGAGTGGACCCCGTTCCGGAACCACTCCTTCACAGAAATTCTGGTAGAGCCGGGAATCAAATCCGGGACCTCTTGATCTGTAGCCAGAACTCTGACCACTAGACCACAGGCGGTCACATGTAAGTCACTGAAATTACGTTGCAGATTTTTCTGCATGGGCACACCATTTTATTATATTTGGGAGCATTATTCTAGACCGAGATTTATTTTGCACATTGATATATTGCAGTCCAATGTTTCGATGAATGTGCCAAATTTTGTCGTACCTCAGTTTATAACAACCTTGACTCTTCTTCTTTTCCTTCTTTCCGTTACAGTCACTATAGTCTTATTATATTTTGATACCACAAACGCAATGTTAAAGTATCAGTACGCTGCCATTGCAACTACAAGCCGACCTGCATTGTTAGTTAAATCGATGGGAAGGACAGTAGCTTGCTGCTGGTGCCATCTGTTGGCAGCATGTGAATTGTAGGTCTCGAAACGTACGATAGATGGCGGGTGTAGTTTTAAGCAATTTAATACGTTAGTATTGCTATTCCTAAGATGCTGTATAAACGTATACGAAAACACAAACCGAATAGCGAAAGTGCAAATGTTTTCTTGTCACGTGTCTTTGTTACATTTCTTAATTTTGAAACGAATAAAATTATATATTACTATAATTATTTAATGATCGCGAACGGTATATGACGCCCTTCGACTGAACCCTTACAGCTGGTTATTTGATCGTTTCAAAAAAGGGTGTTTGCTGCTTTGATAGCACGTAGGTCGAAAGATCTATGGGGTATGGCGATCAAGACATACCCAACACACAATTTTTGTATTTGAGGGGCAGTTAGCTGTCTATGTGCACTGGCGCCCCCCACTTTATTTCGAGCAAAGTAAGCATGTAGGTAGACTAATGTCTGTGCTTAAGTAATTAACTACTATTCAATGAAGGCGTATGGGTTAGCAGATACATAGAACCATATTTTGATGACTACGCTACTAGTTGTAGGTAAGTGGTCAGTTTCACGCTTTGGCCGCTTTACCCCGGGAGAGGAGCTCCTGGTACCCATTGGGTAGGAGGTTGGGTGTACCCCAGAACCGGTCTGGACGATTTGGAGAAGAAAATTATATACCCTACCAGGACAGCCTATAGCCAGTCGCCATACCGACTGCGCTATACATGTTTAGGTATTTGCTTTTTTATAATACGTAACATACAAGTGCCTCATGCAGACACATCAGCAGAAATAAAATTAAAATTATACCTGGACTTCAATTAATTTTTCATTACACCATGAAGATGTATATGGGGGGTGGGGGGATTGGAGATATAGCTCCACCGATAAGAGTGGCCCCGCGGTCTAAGGCATGAACCGTCTTCGCCCTCTCTAGCACTAGGCTTATGGGTTCGAATCCCACTCCATGCTTGGATGTCTGTGTTTATTCTGTGTTTGTGTTCTGTATATAGGTAGCGGCCTTGCGACAGGCTGAACCCCCGTCCAAAGAGTCCTACCGACCCTGTATAGATTAAGAAACTGAAAAAGCTGTAGAGCCATTGATAGATGGAGGTGAATGGCCGGCTTCACGCCCCTGTCACTACCCCGGGGGGGGGGGGGGNCAGTACGCATTGGATGGGAGGCTAGGTGGCCCACAGAGCTGGTCTGGGCGCTGTGGTGTAAAGAAAAATCTAATGCCTGTGCCCGAAATCGAAGCTCGATCTCCTGCCTGTAACCCTTCGTTTTACCTATTGAATTATCTCAGCTGTAGGTCGTTTGCAAACAGTAGGGATGTGACATTGTGTGGAATAGATTTTTACTCCACTTGTGAACATACTCGTATGTTCCCGTTTCATAACTCAATACTGCAGTCAGTAAATATAATACTGTATTAAATATACAGCCTGTCACTTTATCTTTTTTCTTTCTTTCAGGTCTCACAGGAAAATACTGAATATATCCCTACACGAATTACCAAAGTGACTGCCCCAAAGCCAGCTGCAAATCCACTCCAGTTTATTAAAGTGGGACCAGCTAGTTTGTACAAATCAGCTCAAGAACAGCTCAAAAAAGTAGAGGAAATTAAAAAGGTCACAAAAGAAGTTCGAGATGAAGCAGAAGACTGGCAATCTGTAAGTGTTGTGATGATGATATACGCGTATAATTAGTATTAAGCACAGAAAATGCAGCTTTCTTTATTGGCGCCAGATACAGGGTGTTTTAACGACTTTAGAGCACAACTGCAGGAGGTGATTTCCTAGGTCTTCGTGATCAAAAAAGTTCATATAAACATGTGTCCGATTTTGGACGGTTACGGAGTTATGGCCGTTTTAAACTAAGAATAGAAGAATTACTGACAATAAACGGAACAAAATAATAAACCAACATACATTTAAAGTATGAAAGTGAAGTTAACTTCGTGAAATTACCTTCAATTTGAATTTATTGGTGCTGATTTTTGCAAATGCCACCGCCGGCCGCAACACAGGCTGCCGCTCGGTTGTGAACCGCGCGGGTACATGCCAACCCACCACGCCTTAGATACCTCTCAAGTGTCGAGATAACGAGAACGCTCTGTCTGTAGCTGGCTAAAGATAGCGACCCGCCAGCTGATAGATGCAGTTCACGCGAGGGCATGTACAGGAATGAAAAAACGGTCGTAACTCCGTAACTGTCCAAAATCGGACACATGTTTATATGAACTTTTTTGATCACAAAGACCTAGGAAATCACCACCTGCAGTTATGCCCTAAAGTCGTGAAACACCCTGCATTTGTACAAAATTAAATAATCCTCACTTTGTCTGTGTCCTTATAAGTGTAAACGAGTGAAAGGCCTTTTTTTCTACCTATATTTTTTTCGTGAAATCAGCAGCTAATGAGTTAAGTTCCATATTTATTTCAACAAATTATGAATAACATTCCTGCTGACCCAAAGGAAAGTTGTGGAAAGCGCTCATTATTTGCCTGCTCTTTTCTTAAAATAAACCGTACTGAAATAACTACATAATTAACTGCCTTACTCGGAAGCCAGTCAAGTGTTAAAGATGAAGCCCCACACTTAAAAGACTGAAGATGTCATAATATGCTGCAATGTTGGGACTATCAGAGCCCTCAGAGGATGCAATATAGTGCAGTGGGGGAATGATAATTAGTAGGGGAAAAATGCCATTTCATTGCCATGTCATTGAGCACGAATCTTAGTGAGAGGTCAGTGTTTAAATTTCTTCAGTCATGGCACAGGCATGAAATATGACAATCTTATACGTTATTTAATATGGCAATCTTATAAATACACAATTCTCATTTATCAAAAATAATCTTACCTAATCTTCTTCAGCAACCCTCTTTGTGTGCATTGACCTCTTGATTGACACATGGAATTTAGTGCAACTGCAAGCAGAAAAAATCTTTATCATGAAATTCGAATGCTAAGTAGTGTGTGATATCACACATTTTCTGTTTACAGACATCTCACTGCATGATGATAGCTTTAAGCTTTAAAATCAGATTAGAGCATTGTGAGCACACATGCAACAGGAAACAGATTCACAAGGAGACTGTAATAAGCTTCACTCACCCATAATTTAAATTCATACTGTTTGTATGTATGTGCCTACATGCATTCTGTACATATATATGAACATGTGTAGGTTTATTTAAAGTCTTGTTCTGAAGTATTTGCTCTCTTTTGTGTTAAGAATTTAGATAACTGGAAGAGCAGTCGTCGGAAGCGACAAGAACACATTATTGAGCGAGTAGTGGAAGTAAAGAAGTTTGAAATGGAGGACTATGACCGAAACCGAAGACGAAGTAAAACGTTTAATGAGATGATGGAGGAACGGTGAGTATCACGATTTTTTATCAAGGTTCACTACTGAGCTTAAGTTAAAGAAACAATTGTAAAAATACAATGACATATGAAAGTTGGTATGCATTTCACTTCACATCTACTGTTATTAATAGTTCCATTCATTCTTAACAGGAATTCCCGTGGACGAAAGTCAAGCTTGGTGATGTACAAAGATGAAGATGTAAATGATCTTAGTGATTTGGGTATTGGAGCAAGTGGCAAAAGCAGCATGAGTGAAGATTATAAGCATGACATCCGTCAAAATGTGAGTTTGTAAAAAGTACAGTTGAACTGACATGACAGTTTCATTTACTGAAATCAGTTGCAAACATACTATATGAAACAATTCACACAGTAATTCTGTATAATCCATTATATCCTTAACGAACTATGAATTTTATTTCCTCAATACCATCTTCTTAAGTGAGGCAATTTAATACCCATACTGGTGTCATATTCCTCTTTCCAGGATATCCATCCTTTTTGTGTCATTTTAAAATGCGAAATATTGCAAGGCAACAAAATAAGGTGCAGGGTAGTTACCATTATAGTATATAATTTTGTAAGCAGTTGCAAAAGTTGGCATGTGGTGCAAAGGAAACCTTAGAGACTTCGTCCATGTAACCATTGTTCTGCATAGCGTAAAAGTGAAACGGTGTGTAAGTACTGCATAAATTCTTGGCTGATTGTAAATATATTACATAATTACATATTAAAGTAGTAAAAGAAATGTATGTATTTTGCAGAATGAGGAAGGAGAAACAGACAGACATCTTCATGTGAATCAGAATGGAAAAGAGAGAAAAAATGGTCACCATGATGATGCTTCTTCGGTAACAACAGTTTCATCTCCAGAACCTGAAGAATATACATATGAAAGGGCAATCCAGGGCTATGTTAACTTTGCAGAAACAAGAGTGAAATCAAGGACGGCTGTGACAAGCAGTAATCTGAACAGCAGCAGAGACCAACGTGAAAAGTCACAAACCTCAGAATCAAGCACTGAAAAAATTTCTAATGGACATCATGGGAAGGGTTTGTCATCCCCTCCACATACGCCACGAAGACAGTCTGGAGCAAAGATTGAGGAAAAACTGTCAGCATTGGAGAAAAGGAGATGCAGTTCCACAGAATTAAACAACAGTTTAAATAATGACAAAAAGATGCCTATGGCAAAAGGAGATGTACTTAAGAGAAGGGAGATGTTTGAGAGAGCTTGTGAGCTCAGTGAGCAGATATCAAAACCAGCTAGGAGACTTTCTGAAGACAACCAAGGGAGGCTGCCACATCACACAAACAAGGCTGAAACTGCGTCTCTTGTTAAAGATAAGGTCTTACTGAAATCATCAGAAAATATTAATGGAAAGGATTCAACACAATTGAGACACAGGTTTTCAAACGGTGATCTGTCTTCTACATTGTCTGTGCAAGAAAGGTTGTCACAGCTGGAGAAACGAGGAATAGAGAAGGATCAGATGTCGAATGATCTCACACAGTCAGTCAGTGAACGACTGTCAAATCTTGACTCTGCATACAACAACAATGATAACAGAAACATTACACCAGACAGAGATCCCGACTTACAGACAATGCTGGCAAGTTTCCATGGTACGGAAGAAAAAGTTTTTAACGGTACTGATAGTATTAAAGGCCCTGGGGTTGGATCTGAGAGGTCATCAAGTCCAGAAGAAGATGTTATTTATGAAACCAAGAGACAGCAGTTTCATCGATCGTTAGACAGTTTGGATGTTGAAGGTTCAAGTGACATTTGCAATGATTCCTTTGAGAGAGTTCAGAGCCTTGAGGATCTAGATTGCTGCAGTCATGCAAGAAATTACCCTGCATCTTCCACTGAAATGCTAGTTTTCTCATCTCAGAGTGGTGATACAGATAGAGATGATAGTGGCATTCACACAGCTGATGTGTCATGCTCAGTCAGCCAGGCTGATGAACCAGTAGATGATGGAGAAATCATAGTTGCCATTAATAGTATAGTCCCACATCTTGAAACCAACAGTGGATTGGATGTGTACCATCTTGAAGTTGAGATTGTGAATCAGAAACATTTGGGAAGCAGAATAGATGACCAGAAGTTCCATGTTACGGAGCCATCAGACAGTGTGGCTGCAGAACCGGTAGAAACGGCCACAGCATTCTTGGACGTGAAAGGCAATTTGGAATCACCACCACCTGAGGTGGCAGAAGTGGACGTGCCAAAAGTGCCACAGAACAAAAACAATTCTGTAAGTCCTCAGCATGACCATGCATCTTCATCAACCTCATTAATGATGCCCATGGAAGAACATGAAAATGCAGTTGATATCAAAATCCCTGTATGTTCAAAGCATGCTGGTGACAACATTACCAATGCTAACTATTCCTCAGTGGTGGTGGAAGTTCCTTTGGATCATTCAGACACTGTTAATGAATTTTTACCTTTAGGCAATGAAAATACAGTAGACTTCAGTAATACATTTACAAATGTAGCAGAAATAGTTGAGAATATTTTTGACACAAGGGATCAGTCTTGTATACAGAATAACAATACAGCACTAACCTCTCATCGTACTGACCCACCTCGGTTACCAGAGCAAATGTATGAGGCAGTGGAAACAAATACTAATGACTCTTGCATTCCAGCTGTGATATTAGATACTACTGAACATTTTCCCAGATACCTTCCTTTAGAAAAAGCTTCCTCTACACATACAGCTTGCATGCAAAACAGAGATCCTGTTCCTTGCCAGGAAAAGGCTTCGGTGGCAGATAAAAGGAAAACAGTGGTGGAAGTGTGTGAGAAGATCCGTGTTGATGGAGGTGGTACAAGTGGAACTGTGAAGTCCCCGCCCCCAACCCCATACATCGAAGTACCTAACACATGGGTTATGCCCTTCCAGGTTAGCCATGGCACACGATCATAAATTGCATGTTTTGGATGCAGTTCATTTTTTGTTTTTCTTTTGAACATAAACTCTTTAACACGTGTAAACAGGATTTGTAAGCTACAGTCTGTACTGGGTGATGCAGAGTTTTCATGCGTGTTCTTTGCACCTTAGCATTCAGAATGCTCATAGTTGTTCAGAACAGCTGTGTTGAAGGCATTAGCAATATGCAGCACAGGTTTAATTACTGCTTCTTCCTCATAGGTATGTGAACCCACCATGATTTCATGAACAACCATAAGAAATTAACAAGACCAAAATCTGAGTAGCCTCCAGGAGCATAATATTTCTATCAAATATGATCAAATTAGATTAAAATTTTCAGACGCTCCTTTTTATGCACATAGTCAAAAGAATGCAACTGTAGGAAGATGAGTTCTGTTATAGGGTAGTGTTTACTTTGTAAGCATGCATCAAAGGTTCTCTTAGCTATTGCATGGCAAAAACAATGACAAGAAAGTGGGAACACTTCAGGGATCAAGATGAGAACGATGATAATTTTCTCTTCTGTACCAGTCTGTCACCTTACTGTAATCGCAATTACATTTTAAGAATATACTAAAATAATAATGCTCATCCCATGTCAATAGAACGTTTTCATGAACCATTGTATTTATCTCATCAGATTCTAGGGCCATGTATTTACTCAGCATGGCCTGGGGAATGTGTGTTTTCATGCTGATAAATGCTGACATTGCCAGCTATTACAGTTCGTATTGATTGGATGGACTGCATGCTGTTGCACAGAGCAGATGCAGAGTTTTGAAACCTATCAAAGTTCAAGACTGAAAAATCTGCGTCTGAATAAAGATTTTTTCATGATCTAATCCAGAAAGTCTGGGACCTGCATATGCCTAGTAAACAGTCTTCCTAATTGCATGGGCATTCTCTTATTAGACCACAGGAGCTATTTGTGCAATAATGCTATACAGCAGTCTTCAGATGCCAATCTGATGTATCTTGATCACAGAGTGAAAATGTATAATTAAAACTGCCCGTATTTCAGAAAATCTATGTAAGTAGTAGCCTTGGGTTACATGATGAAGTCTGTTTTCCATCTAAAGTTTCTACAAATAATTTCAGGTGTCTTCACATGATGGCACATTTCATTTGTGTCAAGTTCAAATGTTGTCGTGTAGCTTCTTACGCTGTTTTAGTAGTTGTTGCTTCTAAACTTTAGGGTGTCTGAATCCCCCTCACTCCCAAAATATCTACGCACATTCGTAAGGCTTTTCGGTCATATCACTGGCATTCCATCTTTGGTTGGAGTACCAAGAATGAGATATAAGAATAACATTAATATCAAACTTAGGGAATTAGGTTCTGAAGGTGTTTGGAAATGGCAAAGGATCATGATTAATGGTAGACTTCCATATTACCAGTGCTGAACCCTCAGGTTATGCTGTTAAGAAAGTCACCATCAGATTAATGCTATATGGTATGATTAGTTTGTTCAACAAAGGAAAATCTGTTTCCTTATGCATTAAATGTTTGGGTAATGAGTACTGCTTTGGGCAGGAGCTTTCTTATAACATCACCAAAAACATAATAACCAGAATAAGAAAATTTTGCTGTAACAGTGAATGGCTTATTTATAATTTTGTTCTGTAATAATTGCCTTGAAAGGTGTTAAAATGTAATGGTGCTTGCACATTTTTTTTCACTTCACTATTGCATGGTTTCACTAATTACTGGGGATATGAGTGTTAAAGAACACAGTGATAAGGGGGACACACTCATGTTTTAATTATACACGCATCATAGTATTCTGAGATCGCACAGTGTGTATTGCATCTTCCGAATGGTACAGATGGTTGTGGCATGAAATGAGGGGATAAAAATCCTGTACTGCAGGAAAGCTTGAAACCTTCACGGTACCTGTATAGTATTGTTCGAGTTTAGAAAAATGTCATTCAAAATTTTAAGTGACTGTCTTATTATGTAAAACAGAAATGATAATTCCGCAGTTCAGGGTAGGCTAGAATGAGCACTCTTACTCAAGATCTTAATGCATGTACAACATAACATATTCAAACATAAGAAAACAGGAGTCACCTTAGTAATTGTTACAATCATCAGTGAGTGAAGTGCTTGTGCATTATTATTTACTTTGAAGGTTAGGATACTATATTAAATGGTTTGTAGAGATAACATGGAAAAATCCAGTCTTCCTTCTGTTCCATTCTGCAAGTAATAGTTAAAAATTATAAGTTTTTATATGTCATGCATTATGAGAGAGGGGGTGGAGCAATGCTAATTATAGACTACAAATTGTTTAAGTCACAGAGTTGTGAAGGTTACATTTTGCAGGCAAGATATAATTTAATTATCCTTTTGTGTTGAAATTCACAGATTAAGAGTGATAGGTATATACATCTTCCTGTCATGATAATGATCATAACCTACACTCGAGCACAAGAGAAGATCAATGAATACAGTCTTCATGTACATTTGTAATTTATTATATAGGATCTAGCTATCTACCAGGAATAAAGAATTATGGTGTTATGTACCTAAGTAGAGAGACAGAATGGATCTATTACCTAAAAAAGACACATCTGTTAGCATGGAATGCAATCACTGAACGAGCAGTACATTTATGTTAAAAACAGCATTTTTTTATCCTATGTTATGAATTTACATAGAATGAAGTAAACTTCATTGCCTTGACTTACATGTAACCTGTTTTTCCTTCAAGAAAATTTGATACTTTTAGGGTGGAAGGGAAGAACTTTTAAAAGTTTTTTTTTTTTACAAAAAAAAAACTCGTAAATGTTGATTGAAATAATACACGTACATTTCTCATTTCAACGTCTTTAATATACTCATTTTAAAAAGTTTAATTGTAGGTATGTTTTATGTCTTAACGAGAAGGGTGTCAGTAGGCTGTAGTGTTGCATAATGCCAGGAAAGGTCTTGTGTAACTTAAGTGCATGTTCATAGGAATATGCATGACATTTACGTGACTAGCTAAAGGAGAGCTGTGTGCTTTGAAATTGTTCCTGTTTTTGAAACTGGAAGTAAGTAGAAAATGTGACGTATATCATTCCTGTAATATTAGAGGTTTTCATGGCAGACTATGAAGAATGCCATCCTCTGTGATCTGGTGCTGTAGATCTTGTGTGAACTGACGTTTTGGAGGAACGTATCGCCTCCATCTTAAGGGTAGAAAAATCCACCAGCGAGGAACTAGCATAAGTAGGTGGCTGAAAATGGAGGAGATATATATATATTATCTAGACATACAAATTAATACAGTTTGTGGATAATAACAGAAATGATACTTAATTATTACCAGTGTTCACTATGCTTCTGAAATCAGTTTCCAATTTGATTATTCAACATGAAGAGTTTAAAGTTAATATAGTAGTAGTTTCTATGTTCAGAAAGCTGATATCTCAGAAATATTGAAAATGTGAAGGTATCAGTGGTAGACCTACTTGTATTTCTCAATACAGCAGTTTTTTCCACAATGATAAGTGCAAGGAAAGTATTATGTATTATGCTTCATTTCTTTAATTGTGATAAGCATTTAGAGGCTATGTCTTTATCTGAATGACATAAAATTAATGCAGTTACAAAGAAAGTATAGCAAGTAATTGTAACTAACAAGATTTTATGGGGCAGGTAGGAGGAATCAGTTATTTACATAGCATTTTACTCTGCTTATCAGTCTAACCTTCAGTTTTACTGATAACGAATGAGATAATGGATTGCTTACATTGCAGAAGTCATACATGTACCAGTCTACTTACAATTCATCTGAAGAGAAGATTGACACTTAATTTTTACACCTAAGCTTTAACAACATGGTAATGATAATTTCATTAGATAAGATCAGATTTATGTAGCAAGTTGCTAAATGAGTGAATTAACACTTTGCCTATTTCCCATAGGAACCTGAACAGGTGACAGAAGAGATGATATTGCTGAATAGTGGGGCAGGATCTGAAGGACATCATGTGTACAGTGAAAAGTATGACGCTCAGCAGAAACCAAGTGACACCAGTGAACTGAATTTAAATGTAGAAACTGTAACACACAAAGAAAATTCAGTTCTCAAGAGTTGTAATGCCATTCAGCAGTTGCCTTCTTCAGAAAATTTTGCTCAAAGTGTGCCTTCTGATATGAAGGAAGAGGAGAAATCATCACCTATCATGGGCAGTTTACTCAGGAATCATACCGAAGATGTTTTCTTGCCCTTAACTACAATTCAGGTAAAATAATTTTTACTGTTACCGTTGCTTTTTCTGTGAATAAACAGAATACATTTGCTATATTTAGTTTCCAGTTACCAGTTCCTCCTTATAAATGTATGATTAATAAACTTCTGCAAGGGATGTGAAAAATTAAAATCCTTTATTTAATGTCTGGCATAATAAACAGAACCTCAGCCACCAGTATATACAGGTAAATAAATTATTACCCAACAATTTTCAGTAGCTCCTTCATTTTCTTTTCTTCATTACATATTTTCCTTATATTTTTATTTTATTTAGAAATATTTGTTTCAAGTTAATTTGTGTTTATTATAATAAGTAAATACATATGTGTGTTCCAATAAGTATTGAAGAGTACTGCTTTGTGGGATATAACACCATATAGCCTGTTAAAAAATTAGGGTTGAAGAGTAAGTCAAGCAAAAAACCAACATGAAGCAGGCAGCAAACAGAGCTGTAGGTTCCTGTCTTCAGAAATGTGAGACCCCATCCTTTGGTGGGTACCAGTTTTTTTAGAGGGTCCTGCTGTTATCATCTTCCATGCAGATGGATATAACATGTTTATCTGAAGCATTGGTACCTAGCTACCAAAATATATGGCATTATATCCCAGAATACAGCAACTTGCTGCATTCATATTTTATTCTGAAGATGGAAGCAGTGAATACCTCTGAAATATTGCTATTAGACTACACAATCTCACATCCAAGTCAGTCTTTGTAATAGCTCACTGTGTGGTCTTACATTAGATTACTGACTGATATCAGGACTCAATGTATGCAAAGGAAACTGATTGCTTGCATGTACAGTATAATAGTGAACAATTTAAATACAAGGTGTCTTGGAAAGTTCCTGGACTGTTAACAACAGCAGAGTGACAGAAAATATTGTAAAAATTCATTCATGAAGACGCCATTGGGATCAATTCTGGAGTTCACCAGGAGATCTTAACAGAAAATTTGAACGCATGCCGCATTGCCACGAAGTTTGTTCCCTGTCTCTTGACAAATTATCAAAAGCAGCAGCACATAAACTTGTGTCTTGAGATACGAGAGAAGGCTAACCAGGACCCACCTTTAACATGTGATGAAAGTTGGATTTATGTTTATGATCCAGAAACAAAGCAACAGTCACTGAGAGCAAAAATGGTGCAGCAGGTCCAGAATTCAACAAAGAGCATGCTCATTGTTCTTTTTTCAATTCATCATGAATTTGTTCTTCTAAGACTATGGTCAACTCTGACTTTTACTGTGATGTTTTGAGACACTTGAGAGAATATATGCAACAAGAAAGACCAGACTTTGCCACAACCACAACTAGCTCCATCATGACAACACTCGTGCCCACATGTCCCTGTAAACCACAGAGTTTGTGACTAACAACAGCATGGTTATTGTTCCCCATCCCCCCAACTCACTGGACTTAGCGGATTTTGCCTTGTTTCCAAAATTGAAAATGAAACTGAAGGGACATCTTGAAACGGTGTCTGACATCCAAAGGAAATTGCACATGATACTTGAAAGCATTAAGGAAAATCACTTCCACAGTGCTTCTGAAGCATGGAAAAACTATGAGATCGGTATATACTTTCCCAGGGAGACTATTTTGAAGGATATGGCAGCAAAAATTGAGTAAGTTAAGCCAGCATTTCTTTTTTTACCTAGTCCAGGAACTTTCCGATAGCACCATGCAATTAACGGTGTATGCAGTCTGGAACCTTCAGTAATGATTCACAGACCTACAGCTACCTGTGCCAGTTGTGCAGTAACAGTGGATGATGAAGGATTACAGATGTGGATGAATCCAGAAGAATTTATATATTGTGCAAGACATTTAATTTAATTTGAAATGTGTACTTATTTTTATGTGACAGATCCCACCTCTGAACCTTTCAAGTGATGAGATTGTGTCAGGACTTGAATTCCCTCTGGGACCTCCAACAAGTGCAGAACCTCCCAAAGAGAAACCTCCACCACCACCGACAGAACTCAGTGATGAAGAAATGCCTCCAGTAAGTTACATTTAAATATATGTTACGTAAAAAAACTTTTTGTCACCTGAAATGTGTGAAAGTGTGCAGTGTCTATACATATACATTCTACAGCACAGAATGTGTACACGCCTAACATTTACTTGACTGTAGGTTGTCCGTTTTGTCTTATTAATTTGGGTTATTCAGTGAAACTGAGTTTGGATTTATTCTCTGAATTCTTCATATTATTTATAAAATTCACCCTCCAGTTTTCTCCAGTATTCTATCTGTGGTCCAGTTATGTAACCTTAACTGTCTTTTGTAATTTGAGAAGGTTATCTATATCTGTTGCTCTTCTATTACTGTTTAATGCGACATTTCTTCAAAATTACAATATGTTTGGGGGACAGGGTCCAGCAGGAATATGTAGTTATATAAGACTATGATAAATCAGTAATGTAATTATGTCTGTAGTCTTTGCCTGGCAACCAGTGATACACGCGGTAGTGTAGTTGGGTGAGGCACTATAGTGCAAGCTGGAAGGTCGCGGGTTCAAGTCCCGATGAGGTCATTGGATTTTTTCAGTTGACATAATCCTTCCAGCCGCACTATAGCCCTGGGGTCGGCTCAGCCTCTAACAGAAATGAGTACCTGGAATATTCTTGGGGGTAAAGGGCGGCCGGTGCGTAGGGCTGACAACCTTACCGTCATCTATGAGCCGATTGTCTAGAATGTGGGAACCTCAACCCTATGGGCCTCCACGGCCTGTTAGGGGGATACCTGATGCAAACATTACCTGAACAGAAGCACTAAGGTAAAGTTGTCCCTATGCTTAACTAATTAAGCACTATGCCATGAAAGCATATGGGGGAGTGCATGTATAGTTCCATATTTTCTTGATCTCGGCACTAGCTGCTGGAGGTGAGTGGTCAGCTTCACACCCCCGGCCTCTTTACCCCCAAGGGAAGAACCCCTGGTACCCATTGGATAGGAGGTTTGGTGGACCCCGGAGGCGGTCTTGATGACATGGAGAAGAGAAAATTCTTTACCCTACTGGGACTGAAATTCTGACTCCTCGGTTATCCAGCCATAGCCAGTCGCCATACAGACTACACTATAAGCACTAAGATAGAAAAACTACCAGAAATCGGTACTAAGCACTGTAAGTGATTATGTATTTGAGAAAAAGCAAACAATTTCTTAAATAGAATGAAGAAAAGCCAAAAATGTCACTAAAAAGGATTTTAAATTTCAGAAGGAATTATGAATGTATTACATCCGGTTATCTAGGTTATGGCATAATGTTGATTGTACCTGTGTTTAAGGGCTGAACTTTTAAGTTGGAGGTGATATGTACCTTGCCCACCAGGCAGACACCAGACTACAACAAGGTGTCATAACTCAGTAGACCACAGTATGAATTGTAACCACCATGGAAACCTCAAACTTTACATCTTAATGTGATGCCATTTTACTCATAGATGTTCATATTCATTGTAGCCTTCTGGGCATCAAATTAAGCCAGACTGGTAAAAAGTGACTCAGAGCTCAATAAATAATTTTAACCCAGAGAAGGAAGCATTACTCTGATACCATTTTTACGTGGTGAGTTACCCAGAAGAACTCTCAGAGCCAAATTTACAGTTGTTTTGATCCCAGGGCAACTAAAATGTGGAGGCCTCTATGAGTAATATTGAATATAAGTTACAGAAATTATTTTTTTTATTTCTGATAATAACTAAAAATACAAACTAACTTCTCATGATCTTAGAGAAATAAAGTCTGTGGAGCCTATTTTATTCAGTGGAAGTTACCGAAATGACTATCCCTGTTGCTCACCTCTTGAATCCAGCCCTTAGAACCGTACGTACATGTTTGAGATATTTTAGGTTATTATTATTATTATTATTATTATTATTATTGTTGTTGTTGTTGTTGTTGATGTATTCGGAGCCAGGAATGTTCTACCCAAACAAATTTTAAATATAATATAACTTAGTATTTTTATTAAATATTTATGTTT